TGTTGTGCAGAGTCCAGTAATTCCACCTCTCACACATGTTACATAAAAGTGGTGTAATGTGACGTGGAACAAGATCTCATGTTTAACAAAGCGTGTTTTTTTTTTACACACACAACCTGAACAAGATAGTTAGAAAAGAAAAACACCTAATATTTAGTGTTACTGTAGTTTTCTTTGCACTAAGATATTTGCATTGAGATTTCTTAGGATTCTAATCATATGGAGGTGAATGTAATTTTGTTTGTTGAAAAATGGCATTAAAAAGAATTCCACAGCATTCTTTCTTAATAAGAAAAAGTCCCCCTTCACTCTAGATAACAGATAACAACCACACTTTTCAGAGGACCTACAGCCTTTCAAAGAAATGGTACTTAGTAAAACTGCTGATATTGTATTATTTTGATGAACAAGAGTACCAAGGTCGCATTTTCTGCAAAATATCATTTTCCGAAAGCCGGATTCCATGCACTTCAATAATCTTCTGACAGAAACAGAAAATTCACAAACCTCAAAACTAGCAGATATTCCTTAAGGTAAACGGGAACCACTGGCTAACTGACCCTCCTCGGTTCACATGTGATTTTTATTTTTTATGCCTCTCTTGCAATCAGGGACGTTTCTACAAAAGCAGAGTCAAATATGAAGCAGGTGGTTTTTTTTTGTGCGTGTTCACACAGAAAAGTGAACAAACTCAAATGATGAATGATAAATGAGACGAAGCGGCCCGCGGAGCACAACAAAAGCCTCCTCTTTGTGCTTCCCAGTGGCAAATTTTCGGCCTTGCGAGTTGGCAGCGCCGAGCCGGTTGTTGTGTGTGTGAATGCGTGCGCGCATGGGAAGGTGGACACCTCAAAGCTGAGCCCCACTGCCACACCATAACTCACTGTCAGAGTCAGCAGCGTTGGGATGGAGTGGAGGAGGCCTGTGTGTACATTCATGTGTGTGTGTGTGTGTGTGTGTGAGGGCGGGGTGCTTAGCTCAACTTTAACCTCTGCACTCGTTTGATGTTTTATAGAGAAGAGCACGATGAGATAGAGAGGGCCTCTGCGTCTTCCACTGTGACAGGTTTTAATGGAGCACGCACAAGAGCGCTCACACACACACTCTGCACACACACACACACACACAGTCTTGACATCGTCTTGACCCTGGAATGTGGGAGAGGAATGCGAGGCGGTATCAGTTCAGGAGATCAGATTTTTGCCATGATCAAACGTCCTGTGTGCGACTCTGTGTGTGTGTGTGTGTGTGTGTGTGTGTGTGTGTTGTCCTGCCTGCTTCTTTCATGACATCATCACCCAGGCTTTCCTAATAACAATGGCGCATAAAGCTCCATTTTTTTTTATTTTTTTGTTCCCCCCCTAGCCCTCGATTTGAGAGGAAGATCACAACATCAATCTTTTCCCTGCCTTCTCTAACCAGCAACATAAGTCTTCCCGCGTACAGCGACGACGTTATGATTTATCAAACCGGACCGTGACGGCGAATACAAACCCATGTGGTAAACACAGATTGAAAGGATGGGAGCATGGGAGCTGTAAACCGCTGCTAATATATTCCAAACAAAATCTTGTTTGAGCAAGTTCTCTCTCTCTTTTCTCTCTCTCTCTTTTTTTTTTTTTTTCCTTTTTCCTACAACACACTCTCACATAAACACACGCACACACAGCTGCTACCTATCAGCACCTCAGTCCCTCCAAGCCAGTAGCTGTTCCACTGTTTTGACTGTAACACTTCCTCTTCTTTCATTACTTTTCTCTTTCCCCCTCAACAGAGTTTATGTGTGTGTGTGTGTGTGTGTGTGTGAGCGAGACAGAAAGAGAGAGAGAGAGAGAGAGAGAGAGAGAGAGAGAGAGATCTGTCATCTTTGTTGTGTTTTGTTTCTGTTCCACCTGTGCTAAGCTCCAGCTGCCATGTTTAGCGTTTCATGTTTCAGGTAACACACACACACACACACACACACATTCGCTGAAGCTTGGAGGGCAGAACTCAATGTACAGAGTACCTTTTTTTAAACAAATGTGTGTGTCCGTGTGTGTGTGTGTGGCCAGAGTGTTGGCATGAGGGAGGACGTCTGGGTGAGATTTTAATTAAAGTTTGAGACAAAGAGGTCATAAGCCATACACCCCCTCCTCTGCACACACACACACACACACACACCTTATACACACACACAATGAACTGTTTTCTCTCTTCCCCCCCCTCCCCTCTCTCATTCCATCCCCTCAGCTTGATGACTTTTCCATGAAAGGCTTTTTCATTAATCCTACCTCAGGGAACCGGTGCTCTCCAACCTCACACACACACACACACAGAGAAAAAAAAACACACTTGCATGCACAACACACACATAGACCTCCCTCCACGGGTCACTTTGATGTATCAACGCACTTGCAGACTAAACACAAAATTAGGTTCCAGTTCTTTACGCTCTTCTCTCTCCCCCCCCTCCAAAAAAAAAAATGCAACATATACAAAGGCACAACACACCTACCTACCCAACACACACAGGCCATTAATTAGTGTGCGCAAATAAACAGTAGTAAGGGAAAGGGAAGCGGCTGCAGTAAAAACCAACCACAGTCTTTGGTCTCTGTGTGTTTTATTTCTCCCCCACTGATGTTCAACTTCTGCATCTGCATGTGCTCCGTGTGTGTGTGTGTGTTCATCCGAGATGTTCGGTCGTAGCCGAGCTGTGTTGCTTTACCTTCAAACTTGAGTCCTAAAAATACATTTCCTGCTTTTGTTAAAGCCCAGTATGCTGCTCTATATGCACTGGAAAAAGAAGGAAAAAAAATTTGCGCGCGATTTAAATGCACCCCCACCACCTCCGCAAAAACAACACACACACACAACTTTATCCCTCTTGCACATTCCTGCTGTCTGTCTTGTGTGTATGCACATCCACCTGAGTGTTTTTTTTTCTCACTGTCTCCATGCTTGTGTGTGTGTGTGTGTGTGTGTGTCACTGTCTGGGAGTGTGTGTGCGTGTGTGATATCTGATGTCAGCTGTCACATCCCAGTCGGTCTGGGCCCATAATAAGAGACAATAATAACAACTCATTAAAACCGAGGGCAGGAACTGTGGAGCTCATCGGCTCATCAAATTAACCTTTGAACACTTCATACACACACACACGCTCACGCACAAGCCAGACACGACCCCACACATGCGCACGCACACACACACACGTACACACGAGCTACCTGTTTTCTCCCACAGTTAGTGACTACACAATCTTTCTCTCTGTCTTTTTGTCTCTCTTCATCTCCCCCCTCCTCTCAGCCAGTGGGTGTGTCAACAGGGGATTGGTCCTTTCTGCTGGGTAATTGATGAATTATATGCAATATGCAAATGAGGCGCCATTAATCTCCTGACTGACAGCTTCGTTTATAGGGCCTTAATGACGGCTGGATTAGATTCTAATTAAAATCTGCTCAAAGACACCCCACGCTAGGAAGCTGCTGCTGCTAGTCTATCTCCTTCTTTTTTTTTTTTTTTTTTACTCTTTCCCACCTTTTCTCAAACTATCTCCATACACGTTTCCCTTCATCTTTTCCCCTCTCACTTTGCACCTCCTCCAACTTGAAGTTTGTTTCTTTTTGCTCTCGGCCTCTTGTTTCCCCCCTTCTTTTTCCCACTTTGTCTTTTAATATCACACACACACACGCGCGGACGCATAGGCACACTCGCCCACGGACTCGTGTTATGTCAGGCTGCTATGAAAGGAGATGAGGTACGCTGGTTGTCATTAAGCCTGATGTGGCCCGTGTCATTTCCCCTGTCAGGACATTCACACCGTTTAGTCAGAGCCAAAGTGATGTCTGACAGCTTTTCACATACTTCCTCCAGGATTGATTGAGCATGCCCGGCTCAGTCAAACCACACACACATGCACACACACACACACACACAAGAATGCATGTGGATCTGCTTGTAGTCACTGCTTTTACTGAGGAAATTAGTGACATGGCGGGAAGAAGAAGGGAATGAATGGCCAAATGAGGAAAGGATTGAAGGCGAGGGAGGCGAGCAAACACATTTAATAAGCAAACAAATGAATGAGTAAGCTGAACAGTAATGAGGTGCTTTATTGATGCCATAGGGAAACTCCTTTTTTGCTTGCTCGTATCCACAGGGAGGTCAGATTTGCTGTACAGCAGCCTTCCTGGAACCGGTCGGGTTTCAGTGTTTTTGCTTGTTGACACTTCAGCAGGATCAGAGGTTTACAGACTGAAGGACACTGTCTCTAACCAGGCCACCCATCTCAGTCTCAGCGTGAAAAAGTGACTGACTGAGGGGGTAAAGTATTAAACTCTCCTAATGACTAATGTTAGCTTGTGTTTTCTGCCTGCAGTTCGAGGCCTGGACGACCGCCCAAGAGGCTGCAGAGTGTGACAGAGGGCGGGACTCACCACATGCTGTCTCACAGTGGTCTGATGCACGCTGGGATCATGCCTCCCGCAGGTGACCACCCAGGCCTCATCACACACATACAGTATTGTAGAAGAATGATCACCCAAGCGCATGAACATGGGAAACTATCAGTGTTGTCTTACTGTGCATCTTAGACTGATTAGTCTGAGATCAAATACACGGTCCGACATTGTTCTTGTCGAAAAAAGCAAAATAAGAGGAAATAAGTGAAGAGTTCATTTGCAAAAACAGATGAATCCGTCTTCACAAACCTTCAGAAGACCCACTTTTCTATCGTCTACTTGAGACAATATCAATCAAACTTAAGTTATCTTTATTTTTGCCATGTCATTTCCACTGAGTCAAATCCAATCAACTTCAGTTTGATTGATTTTATCTCAAGCAAACAACAAAAAAAATATGTTTTCTGAAAATCTCCAAAAACTGAGTTATCTGTTTTTGCAAATGAACTCTTCAAGTGATTTTTTAAAAAGAATTTGCTGTTGTTAACTTTTTAATTTTGTTGGAATATTTTTTTTTTCTTGATTTACATGATAACTCTTTTGTTTTTTGTTGTTTTTATTTAATTTTCATGTTTTCATATTGATGAGTTTGACAGATTCCAATCCTCTTATTATAATTTTTATATTCTGCATGTGGCATTTTGTATTTTTTGTTATTTTCGCCTCCACAATAGGCTAACCCCAAAGCCACGAAGAGTCATCCTTATCAGGATCTCTTATTAGTCTGTCCTGTAACTTGTGCTCTTGTGACTACAAACTTACAGCTGCCTGTTAGAAAAGAATAGTATTTTTTTCCTGTACATGTCTATGCAGGCCAATCAAAGAATCACTACATGATTCAGCCAGTGGCTCAGTCTCGTGGCATTTTAGGAGCATCAAGTTGTAATTAGAAGAACAAGAAAATGAAGAAGAGTACAGATTTATGACTAAAGATGTTCCATGTTTGGAAAAATAATTGCCATGATTTATACACATAATTACGCACAGCACTTCAGTGCAAACATTAAACACGTAGAACTGTAATATTAACCCTATTCAGGACTCTCATGTTGCCATACGTAGAAGGTCTTTTGGACCCCAAGAAAGAATACGTACAAAATGTTAGTTGGTATTTATTATAGACTTTTATACTATGTAAATAAATTTTCAGATAAGTCAAAGTATTTTTGGTTCCAAATGCATGACAAATGCCCCTCTTTTTATATTTAAAAAAATAGATATTCAAAAAAAAAAAAAAAAAACAATACTTGTCACCTAAAACAAATGGCCTGGGGTCCAAAAGACCCCAAAAGTCCTGAATAGGGTTAACTGATAAAAACTAGTTAAACTCTTTTAAAGTAATAACATCAAAAATCTATTTCACTGCTTTAAAAAAATTATGCATATATATAAATTCAAACCTCATTTATAGAGAACATTTCTGTCATTTAGATTCTGTTCATTTTATAAAATTACTTTTCTATAACTGTCATACAATATTATATCTTTAACAGTACCACTGACAGCATTACTTACTGTCATGCTAAAATTACTTTAATGCTATCATGTAATAAAACCATTTTTTTTTTACTAGTGAACAAAAACAACCGTGAACTTTAAAAAATGGACAGATGCATTCATCTGCTAGTGTATTCTATATCAAAGATTCATTATAAGTAGAATAAAGCCTCTGTAAATCTCTAAATCCCCCCTTTCACAAGTTTTTCCCTAATGTCAGGGGGTTGCAATTCTTCAGTACACGCTGAAAAGTCACAGTAGAAATCCCTCTTTTGGCTCCAGGAGCTCTTGTACAGAGTGAAATAGTGACACATTGTTGCTGCAGAGTAAAGTAGCTGTCAAAGCTCAGAATTTGTTCTCTTTTCAGCTGTCAGAAAGTGATAACTGTCTGAGTTATCCCATCAGTTTAAAGAAAGAACTGGTTGCCTCTGCAGTATAGATACGGGGTGGGTAGGTTTTCACTACTTTTCTTTCAGATGCGCTGTAGTGACACATTTTACCCATCATCAATAGTATGAGGAGGTGGGGTTCTGGGAGGTGACCGGTGTGTTGATTAATAAAATTAGCATACACGCTGCTGACACGCAAGAAACAACTCATAACTTGCAAGCTTGGTCTTTTTTCTTGAATCCTAAGTACACAAAGTCCTCTGTTGGGTTGATTTATACTCTTTAGCCTCCTGAACCCCGTTTGAAATTCATTTCTAATTGACGTAAGGATGCGTTTAGTTTGCGACCGTGAAACTTAATTGGTCTCTTCAAGTGTGAATTAAGTTTTCGTATAAATAAAGTATTTGTCTTGATGAATACCTGTTCATTATAATGTCAGAATCTGTGTGTTTTTACTAACTTTCTAAGAACAGTCAACTGCTCTTAGTCAACTGGCTGCTAAAAGCCACCGTGCTGCTTGTTTTTGTCACAAACAGTTTTGTGTTTGCGTCCCTATTGTAGTGTGTGTGTGTGTATGTGTGTGTGTACGTGTAGCACAGAGAAAGGGAGAAAAGTAATTGTTGGCACCTCACCGCTCTCAAAGTTGCCCTTGGCTTTGTGCTCTTCACTGCAACCTGATCTTTTCATTCCCCGCCTCAAAAGAAGCCATTTTCTATTAGCCTCCGCTTCCTCTCACTGTTCAAAGGTGGCTGAGAGAGAGAGAGTGTGTGTGTGTGTGTGTGTGTGTGTGTTGTGTCTGTGTGAGCGTTCAAGAGCATCTTTCTCAGTGGGAAAAGAGTCTTTTTCCACCAAAGGAGAGGGCACGGCGGCAATGTCAGCGCTACTGATTAGAACTGGCCACATGAGAGGGGAGAAGGAGACAGAGAGAGGGAGGACATTTGAGCGTAAAAGGCAGGAAAAATCTTTGATGTGATCCTCCTTAGTCTCTTTTTCTCACCCTCGTGCGCTCGCACATACACACATGCAACACAGTGGCTTATGTCCCGCTGTGATGCTGACATTTGAAAAGGTAAAGTAAGGAGAGGGGATGGGAGGAGAGAAGGGAGAGGGCAGGAAAAGAGAGGCAGAGAAGATGAGAAGAAAAGGAACAATTTGTTGTGGTTGTCGACGTCTTGGGCAGACAAACTCTTCACCTCAGACACCCATTGTCTGAGGGGGGAAGAAAAAGAAGAAAAAAAAAAAACACTCAGCAGCTCAGTTTGTTTCAAATGTTTAGATGTATCCAAGATCAGGAAATTAAGACTTATGGTTTGTTTGTATTTCCTCAGTGGTGTTTGCACAGTTGTGTGGTTTGTCCCAACTTTAATAATTCGCCGTGTTTGTCTGTATTAGTGCATGAGATGTTTAATTTTCTATTTTAAAGGTCGCTCGGCGGGTCAAACAACCTTCTGAGGTTCAAGACACAAATTAAAACTCGGCTCGGTGCTCCTGCCACATTTTGTCACTCTCCATTACGAATTATCCCAAAGTGCACAACCCCTATTAAAAAACTATCTCCACTTTTTGTCCCGTGCTTCTAATTCATACTGATAAAGAAGTACTTTCTGGCTAAAAGGTGGAGCCGCTGCTGCCGCTGAGTGCCGTCCTGAGTGCTCTGCTGTGGGATGTGATATCCCTGTGTGGGAGAGATGAATGTCTTGGCTTGTTCCTATCACTGCTGATTCCCTGGCAGACTAAATGGCCAGTGCAGCGGTGCAGTCAGAATGAATGGCTGGCCTCTGTCTTCCCATGACAACCTCCTGCCTACCCACTGCTCTAATCCTCCACCGGGGGCCATTGATCTGGCTCTTATTGATTCTTTTTCTTTCTTTCCCCCTTTTTCTTCCTCTCTATATCTGTCTTTCTCGCTCAGATCTCTCTGCCCTGGCCAAAAAGATCAAACTGGAGGCGATGGCCAGTTACCACAGCAACCAGCAACATGGCGCGCCAAATGGAGAGAACGGTGACCACAACCCCGGCCTTGGTGAGTGTCATTTGTCCACACAGGCGCACACACATATGCGCATGTGCGAAATGTTCAATTACGGTCGCATAACACGTCGCGCGGTTGTTGTCTGTACACATCTGTGATGCCAAGTCAACACAACTTGAGCAGCTGTGTTTATGCGCCGCCGCTGAACCAAGCTGACATCACCTCTGCTGCCTGCACGTTTCCTCGTGAAGCGAAAGACTAAACTACAGCAGAGACGAGTCAAACAGACATCAAGTAATACAAACAATCAAACCCATAAAGATCTGACGTGGTTGTGTTTTTTTTTTCAACGAGTCTACGGGCGAATATTTCCGTCAGCTTGGATTTGTTTGCACATTTGTGGGATTCGATAACATTCAGGAAACATTTCTGAGTTTATAGCAATGAGTGGGCAGGTTGAGCAGCAATGAGTCAAACAGACATCAGGTAATCCAGACAATCAAACCCATAAAGATCCAACTTTTATTGCGTTTTCTAGTCTTTGATATTTTAAAGCTGGATTTGTTTGCATATTTGTGGGATTCAGTAAGATTCAGCAAATGTTTCCTGAGAAACATTTGCAATGTTGCCGCCCCATTGCTGGCAAACCATTACCACTTATTAGTCATCGCATTTACAGACTGTACCAGCTATGTTACTCATGCTCAATATGACTGTGATATTTGTCTGTCATATGGTGTAGAATTAAATCACCATGTACGGGAAAAAAAAGAGTCTGAGTAAGCAGTATGCTCTCATTTACAGTTAAGTCGTTTTGTCCTTGGAAAGCACAGAATCACCTCATTTTGGAATTGAATCCCTTTTGGCTGCTCATTACATGTGCAGGTATACTTTTTAGTCGTATGTTATTAAAAGCTGTTCCCTTTCTCCCTGCACCGGTCCCTGGCTGTTGCAGTGAGGGAGAGCAGCCAGCGAAATTGGAGCATCAGTGGACGAGAGTAAGCACACCGGGATGATAGAGAGATGAATAAGATGAGAGGCTGAAGCCAAATCAATAGTCTTCTCTCTAATTCACTATCCTGAATGCAAACGACAAACGCTGGACAATCGATGGTGGGACGGGCACACGCACGCACGCAAACACGAATTGCGCGCACGCACAGCCGCACACACAAACAAATCGGACACGCCGCCCCCGCTGTTATCGACAGGTTAAAGCGACATCAGTGTGTTTAGACAGATGACAGGGCTTATGGAGGTCTGCGTGGAATACGCTATCAACCTGGGACACGCACACTTAAAATGAGGAGCACAGTGCGAGGCTTTAGGACAGAAATGAAAAACTGCCCTTGTGTGTTTCTTTTAAAAAAGAGAAAAAAAAAATCACAAGGAGACACAAGTGAAAAAAAATTGTCTTTTTTGGGCTTTGTGTGCAGGAAATTTTTCCTCTGCGCTAAGTATTGTTTACCATTGTATACTCTCGGTTACGACTGCCAGCATCTGTGCGCAGTTAGGTGGCATGGTTACCACCAGCCATTATAAACCTGTAAAGCTTAATCACTGTTAATGATAGAGTCAAGTGGAAACACACACACACAAACACACACACAGCACACAGGCATACGTACACACACACACACACACATAATGTGTTTTTTCCATACCGCCACCCACGGCCTTATGGGAAGTATAGGCCCCTACCAGAGTTTTAACCACTACAAAGGCAATCTCGGATTACACACACGCACACACTCACAAATGCTGAGTGTGACACCTTATGGGCCGGGGAAGAGCGGGGAGCAGCCATTTCTGCATTTAACAAGATCTTCTGGGAAATTTACAGTAACTGTTTGTTTACAGTAATGGTTTGTTTGGATAAACATAAGAGAGGCACTTTGACTTTTGATGTTTTTTAATGAAACATAAGAGAAAGTGATGGGAGGGCAGAGAAAGTGAAGAGAGAAGTGGGTGACGAGGAGGGGGGGAGGAAAGAAAAAAAAAAAAAAAGCAGAGTTAAGAAGAGAGACTGCGAGTGCAAATGAAATTATAGCGGGAGGTGGAGGGGGGGGTGACAAAAGTGGAGCGCTGGTTTCTAACCAAGGCTTAATATTTGGAGTTGGCTGCTAGTTGATTGTCGGAGCATCTGGTTATTCAGCTCCATTCAGACAGATCTTTTGTTTGGATTGGTTTCTGCTCTGGGCAAGTGAGAGACTAATCTGCCAAATGCACAAAGCACTGCACATATGTCCAGCGAGCCCGACTCATAAAGTCAACGCCTCACCCTTTATTTCTGAGTTTGCCTTTTCTTTTTTCCCCTTTCTTTCCCCCTCTTTTCCTCTCTTTCCTTTTCTCCCTTTATTTGTTCTATTTCATCTCTCTTCTTTGGATAGCCTTTTTTTGTTTCCATGCACTCGTTCTATTATTTGTGACAATTGTGCGGAATAGAGTCCAAGATTTTTTCCTTTGTGTTTATAATTACCCAGCGTGCATTGCTGGCCCAGCACCAGGACTGCCATCAGCTTCTTTTGTTCCACTTCCTCCCTGTGTTTCTTTTGTTTTTGTTTTTCCTTTTATTAAATGATAAATATTTATGTCATTTTCTACCCCCCCAACAGGATTGTTTGTTTCATGAATAGAAGGACTGCAACAACCCACTAGGGTGCTGTTGAGAGGAAGGATTTTCTTTAAAGATAATGGATGCTTGTCTTAAAGAGAGGAGTGTGAACAACAGATTGGCCAAGATAATGGGAGTTTAGTTTCAACTGCCGAAAAAATGTGTTGGATTATCATGAAGAACACCGGGGCAAAGAAAAACTTATCTATTTTTACTTCCATTCCAAAGAGGCTTGAATTTGTGTTTTATTCGCAGATGACACTCAAGAAACATCTTGAGGCCATTACGGTCCTTACATCTTGGAGACGCGCTCATCCCGATCACCATCGTACTTCCCCTCCCTTTTCTGACTCTCCTGCTGCACTCATCTCTTTTTTTTTTTTTCTTTTTTCCACGCTGCACACATTTTTTTCAAGATGCGGTTTAGAAGCAGAGCAGTCATCCAGGTAATACTTACAACAAAGAGGGATGACACCGGTGTCCAGACCCACTCCTGTCTTCAGAGGATGCTGTGGGTTTCACAGCTCAGTAACCGACACAAGACCGAACGCAGGAAGGGCCTTGAAGTTGTGATGGATAAAATACAGCTCATGCAAAAATGAAAGAAGAGCGATACAGAACTTGTTTTATGTTCTGCGCTTGTGCCTGTGTAGTGCAGCTTTGGTGGCCTTTAAACAATGCTGCTGGTCTGACCTTTGCCATATGAGGAGCAGCAGACTTACTCCACTGTGCTCTTTCTCCCTCTATTCTCTTCTATTCTATTCCAATTTATCCCAGTTCTGGATCAGTTGCCCTTCATGATGATGTCACATCCTCTGATCCCTGCCAGCCTGGCGCCGGCCTCCGTTTCCATGGCGATGGGCCAGATGAACCGACTGAGCACGCTGGCCAGCATGGCCAACGTGGCACAGCTCCACGCCAACCCCCCTGCCAGGGCTCCCACCTCCGTCATTAAGGTGAACTCAGAGGCCCATCAGCCCGGTGGATCTGACCGTCAGCCAGCAATCGTCTCAGTCCACGTGACGCGCAGGAACTATGAAAGGAATCGGGGCCTTTACTGTATCACGCAGGAGCGAAAGTGCAATATTTGCGAAACCAGTTAATTATACAAATCTCCAAATCGCCTCCAACACCCAAAGACATACCTCTCGTCCCTTAAGTTTCGTGATGAATTACTCTTTCGATCCGTTCCGTGCTGAACTTAGACTCGAGATGCAGCTAAAAACTGTCGACTAGGGGATATCCAAGTTCTGGATCGCTACCAGAATGTAATCAGTTGTTCCTTGGCTTCAGGTCAATCCCATATCTATTTATACATTTCTGAGATATCCTGCATACAGACAAAAAACTTTGTTAAAAAGAAACACTGTGGTGTTTATTAGTGAGTGGATTGAGAGAGGTTTGAGAGGATTGTACATAAAAACTGATAATGTAGACATCAGTTGACAGAGTTCTATCGTATTGTGTCCTCATCAGTAGCAGGAAATTGCATCTCTGGTCATAATTTTAACTACAGGGACCATTGTTTTAAAAATGTTGGACTGATTCCTAAAGATGAAACTTAATGAAACGAGCGCCAGATTTTCCTGTAAACATCAAAGAATACCGTAGCAGCTTCCAAGCCTTCTCATGTCCCTAAGAATATCATTTCTTTTAATTACCTGCGATATGGGGATGATTTTACCATGTCTTGCAAATCCAAAACACACCTATTATATATTTGGCGAAACCTGGGGAAAAAAAGTCCTTTGACAATTGTAAAAAAAAAAAAAATATTGTAGCATAAAAAAATACATTTTAGGACCCACAGTCACACTCTGCACATAGAAACGGATAAAAAAAAAAAAGAAGCAAAAGAGCAAAATCAGTTAGCTTTAGTTAGACCGCCACAAATGTCCTTTAACTACATCTAACTTTGCAGCACTTCTTTTTGCTTTAAACTTTCACTGTAGCTGAAAAATGTCTGTTTTGATGTTGATAATTCAGTATATCCATTTAGTTTATGCATCTAAATGTGACAGTAGTAGCAGAATTCAGCTATGACAAAGAAGAATCTATTTTAAATAATTAAACTAATAACTCTCAATTGTGGATATTTTCTCCTTTCACTATAAATGATCCACATTCTCAGGTGTCGTGTAGGTATCTAAGGCATTGATTCCTTTGGGTAAAATGATCAACATAAAAGTTTTTACAATCCCTCCGGCTGGATTTTTAATTTCCAGTGTAAAGTTAGTTATTTTTGATTTGTAAGTTTTGTGCATTATGAGCCATAATTGTTTGTTAACTTCGTGACTCTGTGTGATGTCGTTGCCCGTTAGGAGCGAGTGCGCGGCAGCCCCTCCCCTTCTCCCTCGCTGGAGGAAGCTCAGATGTCATCCAATCACAGCAGCAGCGTGTCGAGTTCACCGTCTCACACAGAACGCACTGCAGAAACCACACGTACGTTACTTACCTGTGGCGCGGGCGCACTCTCGCAAAAGTGAAGGATGCTTTGGCCATGACAACACCTGTGAGGAATTTATGAGTTCTGATCTTTTTAGTGTTTTTCTTTTGACTTTTTATTACTCTTTCCTCTGCAGACCCGCTCCATGACGGCCTGTCGTCGAGCCAGAGTGTGCTGGGACATTCTCCTGGTCTGGTGCAGGGGGCCAGAGAGACAGATGTGACTTCAGTGGAGTACAACAAGGAGAACAAGAGGAGCCACGCTGACAGAGGTAAGACACGCTCATGTGTGCATGCAGCTTGATTTTAGGTGTCTTACATTACTCAGATTTATTGACCTTAGACTGTTACCTCACTTCAAAGGTCAGCTTCTGGCTTTTTTCCTTGTTACAGGCATTAATCATGATGTAATTATTAATGAGCAATGATTATTTCTTACGCAAATCGATTGCCTTTGCACAAAATCTGTCAACTCAGAGCAACAAGCGTTCCATCCAAAGCATCCATCTCTGTCACCATTTGTGGATTTGAACACCTGTGGCAACTACACAACTGTTTCTTTGACATTATATATATGTTTCAGAAGAGAAAGGGCTGAAGAAGAAAGAAATCTTAGTAACAGGTCGATGAGGATTCACTCTCTTACCCTTTCTCTCCTCCTCCTCTCCTCCTCGCTGTCAGTGGCCCCCCAGCCTCCCGCGGAGAGCAAAGACAAATAATTCTGCAAAACAGGACTCCATTAGACCAGGAAGCGGTGTTACATTAGCGAGCCATTTGCCGGGCCGCGGCCTAACGAGCCAGGCGGCCTCCCGCGCTCTCAGCTGGACCTCATCTGCATAACGACTGCCTCCCTGTCGTTAGGGCCCGCGTTGCCACGGTGCTGCAACGTCAGTTGTTTGGTTCTCTCTGTCAGGGAGGTTTGCATTAGCTTAATGAGGACTGCTCAAGGACAAACAGTCAGCAGAAATCTACAGCGAAAGAGAGAGAGGGAGACAGAAAGAGGGGGAGATTGTTTGTATATGAGTTTGTGTGTGTGTGTGCACGCGCTCGTGTAAACGTATTCTAATACTGAATCGCATTATTCAGTAATCGAATCTAAAAATCACAAAGGCCTCCCAGGTAAGGTTTCCGATGCTGTCAGGTATCTGTGAACATATTGACAAACCAGTGATGGCACCAACGACGTGAATGCCATGCATCACACATCGCATTTATGCAATTGATTCTCAATTGATTTTCCTGCATGCAAATGAAACATGCATGTACATTTGCAGGATTGCAAGCTTTTGTATTTGACCTAGAACATCACAGGATAGGTTTATCGCGGATTGAGCGGAGTTTCAAAGAGCACTTCAGCGCTGTCATTCTGTCAATCCATTGTATGATAATCTCCGCGCGTGTGTGTGAGTCGGTTTTTGGCTGTGTGTGCTGTTTTAGTGGTCTTTGAACAACGTATCCATGCAGCAAAGATCAGAGGCCATCCCTGACACCTCACTCCCATTAACCAAACATCAGCAGAATTTTATTCTCTCTCTGTCTCTCTCTTTCTCTCCCTCCCCTCCCTCCCTGTTCTCTTCCGCTGACTGGCAGTCTTCACGTGGTGAAGTTCATTAGCCCTGGGGACAGGTGGGAGAGGAATAAGAGAGGGGGGGAAAAAGAGAGATGAAGTTGGGAGAAAAGAGAAAAACAGACAGTGACCTTGGTTAGGGAGATGGGTAAATGATCAAACAAGCTGGCAGCTTTGTGTCTATGTGTGTGTGTATGTGTGTGTGTATTTATGCCAAACGTGTGTGTGAGTGTGAGGTAAAGTAGGCGTAAAACAGTAACTCAATAAAGGATCAGTCACATCCAAGGAGCCTGGGGAGCCCACGCTGCTGACTGCGCACTTCAGCGGCTACGAATGTGTGTGTGTGTGTGTGTGTGTGTGTGTGTGTGTGTGTCTGTATGTGAGCCACAGGAGTGTAGTTGGATGCCCTCCGCTGAGCTCGCCAGCACCTGCTAATTACCTTTCTCTACAGAGCAATGCTTTTAGCAAGAAAGAGGGAGAAAGAGGTAGAGGAGGAGGGAGGTGGTGGAGGTGGGGGGGCATTGCTTCTCATCTGTGAAACACCTTGAATATGACAGTTGCCAAGACGTGAGGCCGAGGCAGAGTAGGGAAGGTGGGTGGATTTGGAGCAGAAGATGCTGTGGTCAGCTAAGTGGAGAAAACACTGTCATTTGTCACAGACAGAGAAAAGTGCCAGATATCACATCGCACGTTCACACTCGTCTCTGCTCCAATAACCGCCGGACTCCCAGGACGTCTTCGTCCTCAGTGGCTCAGATGACAGTAAACGCATAAAGTGAGCAACTGCCTGATGTGAGGAAGGGGGGGGAATGCAGAAAATGGCTAATCTTCATCTCCCTCACTGTCACGAAAAGGGAACACGCAGTTCTCAGGTTTACAAACAGATGGTCATCCATAATGCAGGTTCTTAGCTGCTTTTATGGGAGATGTCAAGCTGTGATGCATTATCAATAGGCAGCCTGCCATCTAATAAAGGCTAACCACATTTTTAAAACCCCAAACCAGGACTTTTTGTGTATTTGTGCATGCACTTGCACACAGTAATTAGTGTAAACACCTATTTACTGTTGGCCTTGATATGTTTGCAAGGAGTTAAGTAAATGTATTAGTGAGCTAAAAAAATTTGCATTGCACTTTGATCGCACGTTGCAGCAGTGATGATCCCGTTGACGGTTTTAAATTTTAAACCTGAAAGCTTAGAAAAAAATATGTTGTGCTAATTAGGGAAATGTGTTCAGTTGTTATAGAGATAGTGTAGACTTGTCACACAAAAGGTTGGCACAGCAAAATGTAGTAAATGAGTGAATTTATGCAGCACTTTATGAAAATACACTTTACAGAAAAGAGACAAAAAAATGACAGAAACAATATGCAAAGGTGGTGCTCAGGTCACACTAGAAATTTGGAAGATCAAGAAAAACATCCTAAAAACTCAAGTGGAATGCCTGTTATGAATATGCACCGAGTTTCTCATTTTTAATCATCTCTGAAACGTCGCAGGAGCCTGTTGCAAAGTCGGCAGTCAGCATCAGTTTTTCGCTTTTATAGTCAACATAACACACACTTACAACTTCAAAGTCCACCTACTAGCTTTTTTCCAGAGCTTTCAACCGTATCTCAGCAGATCAAGAATGTCTAATAGTAAATAATTACCCGCTATCATGTTCCTTTACGTAGGTCTTGTTATGACAACCCAACCAGCTCAAACCGCTGCAGACGCGGTCGAGGTCTGCAGAGAAAGCTATTAAATGTTAATATTTTAGATCAAAGGTCATAGGCTTTGATAAAATGAAACTTACCTTGACAAATCTTTGAACCGCAATAACCCGAACTTCCTCTGTGTTATTACCACCTTTTTTTTGTCAAAGTGGTATTTACCAAGGTCAGTGATGAAGCTTCACGCTTTAATTCAGCTTTAATTTTATTATTGAAGTCGTTCCTTGACATAATGAAGTGTAGTCAGCCATTGTATATCACTTCTTAAGACTCTTAAGACCAAGCAAAGCGTGAGCTCATTGTGTTAAGCGTCACTCGGGAGCGTATCAGCCGCACTGACTAGACATCAAACTGTCTCTCTGCCCTCCAGATAACAGCTCCTTGGCCACACAGACAACCAGGGAGAGCTGTGATAGACAAGTCTACCAGAAACCCCCATCAGGCAGGGAGGGCTGCGAGAGGGTATCTTACCCTGCAGGACAGAAGCTCCCAGCAGGTCTCCACCACACTCCCTTCATCTTCCCGGAAGGCTTGTCCTCCATAGAGACCCTGCTCACGAACATCCAGGTGAGCCTCTGCCGGCGCTTTTATTATTATTACACTGTAAGATGAATAGGAAGGGAGATGAGCCACTCTTTGGGATTTCCTGAAATGTTAAATGGCAGACGAGGCAGACATTTAGGATGTGCAGTAATTGCGATGGGCGTGTGCTGACCTGCTTCTCAGATTTTACATGTCTTTGTTAAAAGAACAGTCACAATGAAAAGCCCTCTGTGGCTTGGTTTTCACAGAGAGAAAAAAAAAGAACCTCATCTGACCCTGATGTGTTGGCAGTTCTACTTTTAGCGTGTAGCTAAAAGACCAGCGTTGACTTTCATGACATTAAAAATCTAATCTATTTATTCTTTCTTTCTTTTTTTAAACTAAATTAATGAATTATGCACCCCAGCACATGTCGGACTAAAACATGGCCTAAAGAAAAAGCTAATTCTGTGATCAAATGACATTCATAGTGAGATGGTTTACCCTTTTTTTGTTAATTGTAGCTCGTGAATTATTTCAGTCTTTAAGGTTTTTCCCTCTATTTTTGAATCTATAGAGTTTGTTTAAATAAAAAGAGAAATATTACCTTTGGGGTTAAGTGATTTGGTGAGGTAAAGGTTCTTATTTTTTTAACCATCTGAGGAAGACGGACGCATCTCTTGGCTGTTGTTCAGTGTGTAACCTGTTGATGTGCGCCTGTGTGTCTCCAAGCAGGGTCTGCTGAGGGTTGCCATAGAGAACGCCCGAGCCCAGGAGAAGCAGGACCAGCTGGAGAGGACCGAGCTGAAGATGGAGCTGGTCCGAGAGCGGGAGCTCAGAGAGACCTTAGAGAGACAGCTCAGCATGGAACAGAAAAACAGAGGTATCGCATACAATATCTTGGATTGCTTTGTAAAGACAGTGTTAACTTCAGTAGCTTTTGCTAAGTGTTGCTTTGAGTGTTACGTCACCGCTCATCACACTGGCACGGTGTGGATTTTAACATCTAAACACCGACAATGCCGCCGCGCAGCTAAACATCGCTGATCTAATCCACTTCTGAGCTGACAGGACGTCCATTAACTTGAAAATCAGATAAGGAAGTGAGGACACCTACTGTATATTACCCCTCAAAGCATCTGCAGAGGTGAATTAGACTGAGGTCGGCGGGTATGCTACAAACTAAATCAAGTTTGGCAAGTTCACAAAAGCTGTCATATACGGCGCAGTCAGAGCAAATTCCAGTCAAATGAGGTTTGTGTAATGAGGTCGCACCAAGTGGAGAAATGAGCAAGTTCAGATGGAAAGAGACTAAAACGTAAATCTAAAGCATCCACAGTAATTCATACCTGTTGAGGATAATAGTGTAGTGCAGTGAAATGTCACTCTGATTATTCAGACCTGCAGTGACGCCTCATTTTGTGACAAATCAAATGCAGTTTAATGCAGGGTCCTTTGTGTTAGTGAACTGTAAGCCAGCAGCATATTGGCCATACACAACATTTCAAACCCAGAGTCCCTCAGAGCTCTTGTTGCAAGTATCCAAGAAGGTCAGGAAGCCAGTAAACCACACAAGAAATAAACTAATTCCTACAACAATAGACAGAAATAAATTAATGTACAAAATAAAATAAACAAGACTCATCACAAGAGTGTGATTATGAGCATAATTGAATGCTGAGCTGCTGATCTAGATATGCAAACACTTCTTTATTTTAATTGCTTTAAGTTATTGGATCCTGAAGAAACGCTCTTTCATCTTGTCCTGTACCACTGTGTATGTACAGCAAAATGACAATAAACTTGATTTGAATGTGAATAAAGTACCTGTACATGTGCACTCTTTTGACATCTGCTGCCACTTGTCCCTTCTCTCCTCTCCTTTTTTACTTAGTTCTGATCCAGAAGCGCCTGAAGAAGGAAAAGAGGAGTAAGAGGAGACTACAGGAGGCCTTGGAGGAGGAAGTCAAGCTCCGTGATCAGGCAGAGCACAGCCTGCTGCACACTGCCAACACACACACAGGTGCACAAACCTTTCCCACACCTGTATTTTATTTCTGTTTTGTCTCGAAATTGAGCTTAATGTAGCGATAACCGGCGTAATTCTCATTTTCATATTAAATGTCACCAAGCTTTCAGTGCAACTTAGCCTTGACTGTTCATTAGCCTCTAATCAAGTGTCTTTATTAATTAATGACCAAACTACAGGCCATCAATCATCAACAGCCCCTCCTCACACAGAGTCTGTGACCCAGGACGTGGAAGGCAGCAACCACGATGACAGCCGGCTGGACACTAAGGGAACAGTACAAGGTACAGGTGCCCAGATAACAAAATACTGCTTCCTCGGTATGTAGCTGCAAAAACGGCTTCATGTTTTGCTCAGTGAACATTAAAAGACAGAAAAGATGTCACTGCTAAAATGCTCCCTCTCTCATTTATAGGATATAAGCTTCTTACAGAGTTTAGCTTTTCCTGCCAGAACAGAGAAACGTTCACATGAGATGTAAAGCAGTAAAAGTTTCAGTATTTGTAGAAGCCCCACACCAAGTTTGTGGAAACAATTTACTTATTATTAACAGCGATAAATTGATTGTCATGCTTACCCAGAAATTCCATTCCAGTGTAAGAATCGCGGCATACCTGCTGGTGGGGATTTATTTAGCTCTTATCGACTGAGCTAGGACAACAGATTTCATTATTTCACCTACTCTCCGCTTTTGATGCTTAACTGACCAGTCTAGTGGAAGGGTTTTCAAAGATTTCACAGGGAGACCGCTCCTGAGAAATTGAACAAAACGAAATGAGGCATGAGACAGTTCACCGGGGCTACCGTTTTAATGGAGACAGGCGTTTAATATATTTGTTTTGCCAACGTGATTGTCTGCACAGGGATGGATTAATGAGAAAATCCCACATGTAACATCTTAAACAGACAGAGAAAGAAATGGCCGTGATCTGTAGCCCCGGCCTCATCAAAAGAGTGCATGGTTCCAGCCCACCTCTGCTCCGCGCTGTGCCAAGACCGCCATACCAGACAGCGTGCTTGTTCAAAAGCAATTTTTAATTGAATGTCAGTGAAGCAAGAAGAGAACTGGCCACTAATTAATGGCTGTCTTAATTGTCCTCATGACGAGTTTGTTTGGACATCATTTGCATAATTAACACCCAGTAATAAATCATTTAAAGGGGAATTGTCTGTCAGACAGCAGGGCAGGATGTGGTTCCTTTGTGCCAGGAAGTTTTATCGCCAAAAACGGGGATCAGGGCCCGAAAAAGACTTTCAACCAAGCCGTCCTCCATAATGCTCTTTTGTTAATGATCTCCGGTCGTGGATGTGTAGGACCTTCTTCAGTATTTCTAGGAGTGGATTCATTGCAGACAGCATTTTCCCTACACTGAAGAGCCAAGTCGTCTGTATTTTACCACAATTTAAATGTATTTCTTTATTCATGTGATTATCTTTGTTGGTTTTTAGAGGGAAGAGTGTTCCTGCAAACCACTGGGATGTTCTGAAGACGAGGCGGAAGGACAGACGGATGAATGAGCGGACGGATGGATGGAAGAGTGACAGAGATTCTTCATTTATGAGATATACAATCGACCAGGCATGCTCAGTCGCATCTGAGACGCACATGTCCACCTCCTCAAGAGGACTCCCCTACATTTCAAAGGGTGACATTTGAACTTTTCTATTGTTCTCTTGTTTAATTTATTGCATTTATCACCAAATCTCAGCCGTAGTGGGAAGACTATTTTATTCCGATGTTGTGTTTGACTGTGTTTCTTTCAAATCAAGGCTTTTAGATCCTAGATGAAGACGACCATAGTTGTTCTTTTTTTGTCAGTGCTGTTTATCTGGACGCAAGTGATGAAGATAACTTGTAACAGAGTTGTGTACATATATATAGTCATCATTTTTGTTATTATTATTATTATTATCAGAAAAAAAAACACATAATGGCATGTTGTACAGTCAGTAAATGACTTGTATTGTGTATGTTATGCAGTAGTGCAGTTTGACAATACAAACAATACAAATCCTTTTTATTCAATTGTGTCATTGCTTCTTTCTATTCCGCATGAGCTTTAAAGGTTTCTGAGATGTGTATTATAGTTAAACCCTTTAGATTTGTGTTGTGTGTGTGTGGAGGAGGGGGAGGCCCATGTGTTTGCATAAACATATGTGAGGGTGATGGGGAGTGTCGTGGCATCGATCTGTGCTCCATCTCCAAAAACATACACGTAAGTATTGACAGACAGACAGGAAGGCGGTGGGCAGGGTCACATGCAAGCTGTCTGTTAGCGAAACATGTTGACGAGGCACTATTTCCCTGTGGCTGCACTCGTTTTTATCATTTTTTTAAAAAACCCTTTATGAGGTAAACTCGTGTTAGTAATCAGTTGAGAGCACAAGAAATAAGATGAGGAATAAATGATAAATTATATTTAGTAAAAAAACATTTTTGCTGTGTTAAAATTTGTGGCTATTTTATGATCGTTGCCTGCCAAATATTAGTATTGCAGTAGATGGAAGCATACGTGATTAAACTAATGAATAAGCTCTTCTGACTCCTTTTGGATCGAAGCCCTGCAAATGCCTGCTAATATAAATCAATTGCAGCTTAATTTGCAGTTTAGAATTTGAGAAAAATATGTTTGTCCACATGCATGTGAAAGAGATATTTGAAAGGAAAGCCTGTTCTGTCCTGTGTGTGCGGCTCAAGACATGCAAAACTACACTAAGTGTTCGTCTACTGGTGCACAAAGTAAAAGGTGAATAAATTGCATGAGGGGTCAAAGATCAAAAATGCAGGTTGTTTAGAAATATTAGAAGCAATTTCCTCTAAAGGGTACGGTAAATGCTTTAGAACTTAACTGGCAAGAAATATGAAGTTTTCCAAAGTCCTAATTAATATCTATATCACTTTGTTCTGAGTCCATGTGTTGTGCCAAAACAATCTGTGCTGTAGGCCAGGTTTTGCTCATGCAACCTTGTCTAAATGTGCGGTGTGCCATTTCCTGGACACAGGCAGATAAGCTGTGATGCAGGACTAAAACAATACCTCTGTTACAAGCAATTCTTCCTGAATACAGAGCGGCTGACAAGTGAATAGCAATGATTCACATAAATGAATGTGTGAATGAGTCATCAGCTTTTCAGATGACCACCTCAGAGGCTGTCTTGACTAAAAACGTTTGTGACTTCATTCAGCGGTGCTCTTCCCTTTCACGCTCCCTTGTATCTCTCTCTGTGTCTCACACACACACGCACACACACACACACACACACATACCCCTCACAATTCACCGAGTAGCATTGTCCTGCCGCGAGATGTGTAATGGAAAAGATAAATGGAGGATAAAGCTAAGGTGACAGGACCGAGCATGCATGTGCGTGTGTGTATTTGCATGTGTGTGTTTCAGTGTGCGTGTGTGTGTGTGCGCGCCCGCATGTGTGCACTGCACAACAGACCAGCAAACCATCTGCTCATCTCCTCTTAATGAACAAAGCAAACAGCAGGAGTCAAGGCTGTCTCCAAATCTGGAGTCTCTTTATTGGTAAGCACACACAAACACACACATACACACATCTCTGCGCTGTTTAATCTGATTATCTTTGATTGAGAACAGGGGCAAAGCAACCTTTTTAGACCTCACTCCTACATCAGTGACAGAGAAGGTCTGAAACACAATTAGCAAGCTGTTACTGAGCTCTGCTTTGCAGTCACATCTGACCACAGGCAGCCAAATAGACCTAATGGGTGGGAACTAACCAATGGGAACCAACACTATTGCATCTGTGGATGATGTGGAAATGCAACACTATTAGACAGCTGTTCGCCATATCTTTTCAAATGTACTTGGACGTAACATAAGCATCGGATCAACTGGCTCAGGAGCAATCGCAACCAGGCAAGAGGGGTATACGCACTGTTTGATGTGAATAAAACTGGCAGCTATTGAACTATAAGACAAAGCAGGACCTCTGCAAAGGAAGCCTGAACCTTGACAAGATATGACACTGTGCGCAAAAGGCCGGAGGACCATAAGCAAAAGTCATTAATCTGGACTTTGTGTAGCCACATCCTGCTCAAGGCCCCAAGGATAATTAGACGTGTTACCACTCTGTCAGAAAGCTGACCACATGACTTCAAGACACGAAACATTCCCTGTGCTACTCGTATGCATACCCAGCCCATAAATACACATCGCAAACTGGGCAAATGGCCATAGAAGATAGGACAAAGATCAAACATAATTATACCTGCGCTTCAGGGCCTGGGAATGCCCTGTCTGAGGTTTATAAGATAACAGCAGGGTGGTATCATGAGTAAGGACACTGTCCTTCATCAGGAGGATCATCCGAGACAGCATTCGCCCTGCTGAAATGCCTGTGAGTGGGACACTAAATCCCAGCTGCAGGGGTGCTGCAGTCCTTAGATCAGTGATTTTCGACCTGGGGGTACAGACCTCTCACGGGTCCCTACGTAGACAAAGTGTTCAGATAGATGCTCTCACCGCTGTGTGGATGCACTGTGATGTGGTGTGCAAGGACCGTGACCTGTCAGAAAACATTTTTAAAGCTTTGATCAGAATAATTTGCTCTTCTTTGCTCTTCCATGGTTTTAGTTTATGCAGTCCAAGTAGGCTATTTTTTTTTTCTTTTTAAGACTTCTTTAATCAGCAGTGCTTCTCATATTTTGCTGTATAATTTTTTATTAGATTTATTAGTTTTTGAGGGAATTTATGTTTATTTTTACTTGGAAAGTCAATTTGTAGAATGAAATGGTTTTAAAGCTACTTGCATGGCTTCACCTACGAATGAAAGATATATATATATATAACCTTTTATGGAAATGCATTGTTGGGCAGTTCAGTTTTATTTATAAGCACAACATATGCCGTCTCACGGCACTTCACATAGTAAGCTAAAAACCTTATGATGTTATACTATAGAGGGAAAACCAATAAATCTTCTGATTATCTTTAATCTGCTCTTTGGCAACAGTAGGAGGAAAAAACATTCCTTTAAGAGGAAAAAACACTCGAGCAGAACCAGGCACAGGGAGGGCGGTCATCTGCCTCGACTGGCTGGGGTAAGGGTGAAAGGGAGAGAAAAAAAAGTATAACAGATAGAAATCAGACAATCAATGCACAAGAGAACAACAAGTACTGAAGAGGTTGGTAACCGCACATTGGAGGAGTGTAGAGCCTGAGATACCAACAGAGACGACAAAACACACACAGCTAGGGGCACGCAATGGTGGAATATAAATATGGAGAGAGAGAGAAAAGTGTTGACGAGAAAAAGTGCTCTACTGGGATTATATGGTATAATAAGGTCTTTAGGATACGATACCTGAGCCTGGTTCTGCCGGAGGGTTCTTCCTGTTGCAAAGGAGTTTTCCTCCCCACAGTCAGTAATATAAAAAAAGAGAAAATAAGATGACATTAAATAATGCAAAATTAAGCAATAAATATAAATAACAACAAAAATAGAAACAAAGCTTGCTCATAGGGGGTCCAGAGAATCCTTGGACTTGTCATATATTTTTGTAGATATCATGACTTGAGTTCTAATTGGGTGAGGTTATTTATTATAATTAATACCACTGTACAGTGTGAGCCTTAATATTCATTTTCGACAAGTAAAGCTGCATTTTATGTAATTTTTTTAAATAGAGTTTTAATCCTAAAATATTCAAATTACTCAGGTTAACTCACGTCATTAATAACACTGTAGGGCATTAATATTTGAACATATTAGGTTAATTAGGATCAACATTACTGAACCCTTACTGGGGAAATTCACACGGTACAGCAAGTATACAAATGCAGCACAGTGAGAACAGGACGAGACAGGAAATGCAAAAGTAGAATACAGATAGAAATGAAAATATAATAAATACTGTGTACACACTTGGCATGTGTGGATATGGCATGATGGATGAATGCACCCAAGTTGTTGGACACAGTAGAATTGTACTTAAAGGTTATATAGGCTAACAGTGTTACTTAATGTTGTTGCGCTTGAAGGGGGTCAATCTTGTTACACCAGTCAATGTATTTATTTATTTTTTACTTGAAAGCACTTTAGCACAGTGGTTGTTTGCTTGAACCCTATTCAGGACTTTCATGTTTCCATACGTAGAAGATCTTTCGGGCTCCATTCGAACCCAAAAAAGACTGTGTGCAAAATATTTGTTGGTATTCATTATAGACTTTTATGTTGTGTTAAATACATTTTCTGATAAGTTGATGTATTTTTGGTTCCAAATGCATGACAAATGTCCCTCTTTTTATATTTAAAAAAAAAAAAAACTCTTCAAAAATAAAAAACACAATACCTGTCACATAGCTAAATGGCCTGGGGTCCAAAAGCCCCCAAAGGTCCTGAATAGGGTTAAATATGCTATATAAAATAAAGGTGACTTGATTACACTTGACTGTCTTGAAAGTTTCTATCATTATTGTGTCTGCAGCATTTTTGGATGAACTGGAGGTTTTATTTAAAAGCCAAACATCCGGAGTTTGCAAAGCTGGTAAACGGTTGACTCTGCTGTTATCATATAAACTAAGAATTTCCAAACACTAACAGGGAAAAATAAAGCGCAGTGGAGTGAGGGTTACATCTCGGAAAAAATGCCAGAGGAGCCTCAACACAGAGCAACAGCGCCCCCGACAGGCCGCTTTGCCCTCCAGTTTCCTCCGTCTGCGAATGAACACCTTTGTGTCCTCGTCGGCTTTCCGTAGCTGATTCCTCTCCGCTGTCTCCTTCCCTTCACAGTCACAGCGCTCAGCATGGATCCTCTCCCCAACTTTATTTCGGTGTTTTACTGTTAGTTTGGCGTTGTGTCGGGATTAACCCTTTATCGTCTGGACCCCGTAGCTTATCTAGACACCATGTTCACCACCACCGGTTCTCGGGGCCTGTGTAAGTATCCCGGAACCGCCGTCAACCCACGGCGGGGCTGTCGCAGTCAGTTTACCCGGAGCTTAGCTAGCTGGCGTTAGCATTGCGCTGTCATTCATTTACTCGAGGCTGTGTCCGTCAATTACAGCCGTGTTTAATTACTCACCCACCTTAGGTTCGCATTTCCCCTTTAGCCAATTGACTCAGTTGACGTGTCGTACTTGAAATAACATGAATACCCAGCTAATTTCGAAAGCTACGTGTCTGCCCCGCCTCTATTTATACATTAGCCCCTTCTCCATTAAGATAAAACACCAACATTAGCGGCTCGCTAAAGAGGGCGACAGTGCCACTAAACTATGTTGTGTGTGTGTGTTATTTCGCACAGACAAGGCTCCTCTGTCTAAAAGCCTCCTGCTGGTGCTCAATGGGCTGACTGTGATGCTCACCCTGCTGCCACAGTACCAGCAACTGTTCGTGTACAACCTCCAGGCTGTCACACAGCAGCACCAGGTATGTGTCCAGCATCTGACCCTGGGTTTAGGATGGAGACACTCAGGGGAGAGACTTAAACCAACACCCAGGATCATAATCACGTAGTGTGTCTACTTTTATATGAATTATGAACTTTTTTTTTCCTTAGTGAGATTAATAAAGTCATCACAATCTGGACTACAGGTTCTTAAATACAAACAGGATTCACTTAGACTCACACAAGAAGCATTTGTAAAGTTGCCATTGTGTTGACTCCATTGTTATCAAGCAAATGAAGAACCTTCAACCACATGATGACAGTAAAACTCAGCACACTGTGGTGTGAACCCTAAAAAGGAGACTGAGCAATCTCTATTTTGTTGATTTTATTTTATTCCCCCCCAATCTTCGCTCTTTATTTCATATCCCATCTGAATCAGTGGTCAAAAGATAGAGGGCGTTGTGTTACAAAATACCCCGAGGCTATTTATGATACAGGGATATGTTATTCCAGTTGCCATGACCTGACAACTTTAGCAAAACCAAAACTGGCCACAACGTACACTTGAAGGCCTTCAGCAAGGAGTGACTGTAATGTTCCCGCTTTCATGTATATATAATCACCTGTTGCCACATAACCAAACTTCCACATTTAATTACATCTGAACTGGTTCCTGTTGCTGATGAAAACCACAAAGTGCAGTTGAACGCTCTGTAAAAGCTGTTAAGTGGAGGATGACTTGATGTTATTAAGAGCTGCATAATATAATAAAAGAGACATAACGAGTTTTATATACTTGCAAAAAAAAAAACAAAACACAGGAATTTTTGTAGGGGGTTGCATCTACATCAGAAATGAAAATAGTTAAAGATAAAACTGAAAAATGACTTTTTGCTGTGAAGGCTATTTGAGTGCAAACCATTAGGACCCTTTCTCTTATGGTGTAGCAGTGGCAAAGCATCCGAGATCAGCATTATTATTTCTGTAGCCAAAATTGATCCAAAATATCAGCATTGTGTCTGTTTTTGCAACCAAATCTTAAAATCCTTTTCAGTGTTTCTCTCCTGTTCCTCGCTCATTTTGCTGGCCACAGGTGGAACCTGCATGTCAACAAAGTCAATGTTTAATGGGCTGCCGCTTTGGCTCACCTGGTTGAGCTGGCAACCCATATACAAGGCCTATGGTCTCCAATGCAGCAGCTGTGGGTTCAAATCCTGCTCAAGACCCTTTGCTGCAACCCCTTCCCCCATTCTCCTCCCCCACTTTCCTCCCCCACTTTCCTCTCTCTCTTTTGACTGTCCTATCAAATAAAGGCAAAAAGGCCAAAAAAAAACTTTAAAAAATCCCAAAACTCTATGTCTTGTAAATAGTTTTGTCAAAAAAACAAACAAAAACCACAAAATTAGAATACATTGTGTTCCATCAGACAGACTTGTCTTGTAGTTTAAATAATGGAAACTGAGCACTGTGTTAGTTTCCTTTTTGTTTCAAGCAGCAAAAAAAGTTGAGTCAATCACTGTGATATGACTATTGTACATGCAAATATCAGGATGTTAATGCTGACACAATATATTCTGTTGCCCTAATATTTTATCAACTTGTTATGTTTTATTTAAATGTAAAACTCCTTCAAGAGCCTGATTTGTGACAACGTTGTTCTTCTGCTTTGTTACGGAGTCTCAGAAGAGGCAATTGTACACAAGGCTATGGTGTTGTCTCTGTTTCTGTAGCTGCATGTGTGTGTGTTATAACTCTGCTCTCCCTCCCTCCCCTGTGCTGTAGGTGTGGAGGTTGTTGTGTGGCAGGCTGGTCTGTCTAGACGTGAAGGACTCCTTCTGCAGCAGTCTGCTCATTTACAACTTTCGAATCTTTGAGAGGAGGTTTGGCACCAGGAAATTTGCTGTAAGTAGCAAAACCATTGATAGATGAATACTTAGATTGATGAAGTACAAATTTAATACACTTGCTTGCTCATGTTCTCAGTTGATCTAGATTCCAATTGCCATTTCACACTGTCACATAAATTGGGTCTGTTCTGACTCAGAGTTTTCTTGCGTGCCATTTCTTCCCCAGTTACTCTCATTTACGAATGCAAAATGTTAAGACCTTTTCAATCCGGGTTAGAAGGATGTTCATCAGTCGTAGTCATCTTCAGCTTTTAGGGAAGAGAACATCCCACTTCCTCATCTGACTAACTCTGTGTTTATAGTAGTGAAATGCCTAAAGATGGGCCTTTGTAGACTTTAGTGTTGGCAGACTTTAGTTTTTTTTTTAGACTTTAGCTTTCTAGGTATGTGCTGCTCTAATTAAATATAGTGCTTTTCTTAATTCCAGTCCTTCCTGTTGGGCACTTGGTGTCTCTCTGCACTGATAGACTTCCTGTTGGCTCAGGCCTTCCAGTTTCTATTTGATTATGAGGTGGAGGAACTGCCTGCAGGACTGTGAGTACTATGTTGTAATGATGCATGTGCAATTAAAATTTGAACATTGTGGTACTTATATTTCAAAGCACTATGTGTTACTTAAGTGGAAAATCCTTAGTTTTCCCCACCACATATCACCGTATAAGCTCTGGGCAGTATTTATATTTAATTCCTCAATCCCCCGCCTGCTTTAAATATGGGTGTGTGGTATTTAAACTGTGACAGCAGCATACAGTCCACCTCCACAAAAGGATGAAAATAAAACTGACTTAGCAGGCTCAGTGAGGTAATTAGTTATTATTCGAGAGAGTAAAAGAGTAAGACGACTAGTTACAAAAGCCAACAATGTCTCTCTTGGACTGCCTGGAATATTACTGAAATGTTCATATTTTTATTAAAGCTCTCTCTGGTTCGCCATCCCCTCCACTTTCATCTTTTCCTGTCACAGGCTTGCTCCAGTCTTCTCTCTGTTTGTGCCTTTCTACCTTTCGATCCCCCGGATGCCAGTCACCCAGGTTCTGGGTCACATCCAGATCACCAACAAGTCTCTGGTCTACATAGTAGGCTTGCAGGTAGGCTCATGTTCTGCTGGTGTGGCCACATGTGCGTCTGTTTTGCTTTGTCTCGTACTATTCTTGAACCCTTGAGAATACTTGTTTCCCAGCTAGTCTGACCTTCATTCTTCCTTGTCTGCCTCTCTCATCCTTCTGTGGTACAGCTGTTGACTTCCAGCCCCTTCATGTGGCTGCTTGCACTCAGTGGACTGGTGAGTAGAGACATTTTCTTACTGTACGTCTGTTGAGCGTGCCAGTGTTTAAAACTGTGATGAATGATTTATGAAGCAGCGTCGGGGTCTGCCGATAATCAGCCTGACTGATTGTCTTAGCCAATGCTCAGCATTTTTCTGATCACTGGCATTACTTTTTTTTTTTTAGCTGATAAAATAAAACAAAAAATAAACAAATTCAAGTAGTAGTCTCACCCACAGCATTTTCTGACTGGTTAAACTTCATGAGTCATAAAGTCAAGGAAAGATACATGTTTAAAAGTTCTCTTATAACTCCTCATATGCTCCGGGCGCCCCTAAAGCTCACCTAGTTGAGCGGGCGACCCATAAACAGGGGCTATAGTACCCACAGACACAGCGGGTTGCAGGTTTCTCCCCATTTTTCTCCCCCCTTTTCCTGTCTATCTCTACTGCTCTAAAAATAAAGGCAAAAGCCAAAAAAATATATACATAAAAAAAAAAAAAATCATATGTAAAGCCTAAATAAACAAAAACTTTTCAACAAAGTTTGCTATTGGAATTTGTGCTTTTCTAAATTTCGACACCAAGATTTTCACTTCCAGCTGCAAATGTAGAAATTGTTTATTGATCTCCTTGATTACTATCTGGGTGAGGAATCAAGAACCATTTCCAAAAGTCTGTCATTCCATAGCAATTATTACAATTTTTTTTTTCTCGATTCGGCTTATTGGTTCCAAAAACACTTTCTGTTGCGCTACTTTATAAACTATGTACTGCAGACAACTACCATGTATCTACCGCTATCTGTCTGTGCCTTTGTCCATATGAATTGAAAGCATGTTTTCCCCTCTCCTAATGCTTTTGTCTTAATAAATTGTGAATCTAGGATTATTCTCATTTAACCTACTCAGCCGTTGTTGAGTTGCTTGTTTAGCAGATGAACAAATTGTGTGATTGTCTTAACAATCTTCTAAATTTGCTAAAGCTGCTGCAAAACACTCTACAAGTCTTATTGTTGCAGTAAAGTAGCTTAAGTAAACCCAAAAATATTCATGAAACCAGAAAAGCAACCACCGTTGCTACGTTTACTAATGCTTTACTCAGCTCTGTTTTTCTGCTGGCAGCATTTATCTGCGGTAAAGACCGTTTCACACAACTCTGCTGTGAAGAATCAGGAGAATGCTGCAGTAACATTAAATGAACAAGAACTCTTTATTTCTCTTCTGTGACAGTGCCCACAAAACACAAACTTTCAGTAACTATTACGCATATCTAGGAAACATACAGCTGACCACATTTACTTTACTAGCCCTTATAGCAGCAACTTTTTAAGACTGCAGCAACATCCCACACACAGGGAGAGACTCCCCTCCCACATCAAACTCACTCATCTGTGTCACCACATTCTTTAAAGGTGATATGTGCAGTTTGGCTGTGTGGGTGTTAAAAAAAACATAGTAACTGTATTAATTCATGTAGTTATTAGATTTGTTTATCTTGATAAGCAGTAGGGAGTGGTAGAGGGATACTAAGATAATGTACTTAAGAAAAAGTACTAATACCACACTGTACAAGTTCCTCACTGAAAATGTTACTTGTAAAGTAAATATAATCAGGAACATGTGCTATGGTATTAAAAGTAAAACTGCAGAAAATATCTTGACTGTACTGTAATACATCCATCTATTATCTACCCACTGTTTAATCCTCACTAGGGTCACGGGGGGCTGGAGCCTATCCCAGCTGACTTAGGGCAAAGGCAGGGTACTATAATACAGTGAATTCTGAATTTAGATTATTATTACTCAAGAATAAGGGTACAAGCAGGATTTTAATGTTGTAGCACCTCTAAACACCTGCCTACCCCTCAGCTAATCGATATCGAGAATTCCTAAGAACTGAAAATGATCAGCATAATCAGAAAAGAATCGTTAAATACCAACGAGCCCGTCCTGGATTCTAATAAGGAAACCCTACCAGTCAACCTCGTGCAGTGTTTGTTGAGGGCCACAGGACTCAGCATAGTCTCTATACATGGGCCAGAGTATCAAAACAGTGTAATTTAAGGAGCTAAAAAGCTCTGCAATACTGCATGTTTGTGCTGTGAGCTTCTCATCTGTCATGTCACTCAATATCAACACAAAAACATATTGTTAAGCACCAGAGTTGCAATAGCTGATGGGCAGAAAATGTTTCTGTTTCTTACTGTTGCTTTGCTCCCTGCAACACACTGAGGATTGCTTGGCAAAGTTTATTAAGTAAATCTTGTGATTTTTATCGTATATGCTCTTCATGTATTTTTCTAAATGTGCCTTTCAGATCTCAGGCGGACTGTACCACTCCAATGTTCTCCGGTTACAGAAGATCCTCTTTGTACCTGCCTGGGTGTCTCGTATTGGACGGTACATCCTGGAGCCGCTCTTCTCAAGTGAGTCCATCCGTTAGTAATCACAAACACAAATCCTGAGTAAATCCTTTTCACAGTGGCCAGTGTTGCAAGGCCTGGACTTGTTGTCTCTCAGTGTCTAATTGAAGAAGAAGAATATGTGTACATTTTTAGGATTTGAACAGTGCTGTGATGCAGAATGACTTACAAAATGAACACAGGCCAAATTCTTATTTATATGTATGAACATTTATTTTACTTTCCTTCATTCAATAAACACCTGAAGTGAATGTAAAACAACACTTTCCCATTACTGCTGGTGAAAGTTAACCCATCTTTTCCAGATTAGAGTTTCTTCACCAGTTTTTTGTGTCCATTTAGTGCTCAGTTTTATTCTGTATTCATTAGCAAAGAGGATGCTTAATAATCGTCCCCTCCTAAAAAAGAAAAACAGATTTCACAGATTTGTTTAATCCTGGAGCAGGATTTATTGGGTCACAATCTCATTAACAAACAGTACTATCAAAGCATACAGTACTGATTTATGGGCAAAAGCAGCCGACTGCTTTGTTGTGCTCTTTTTCTAATGATGCACACTTTACTTTCTTCTCTTAAAATATTTCCTTGAAAGGCTATTTGGATTTAATGTTCTGCCTTAAGTAGCTCTTCCTTTCCAATCCCTAATGTCCTGCACGGTCACTTTAAGCCTTTCAGCTGTGAAAGAGTGTTTATCTCCCTCAAAATAGTCGGCGCTTAACAATGTTACTTTCCACATTTTGTTCCATAACTGAAATGGAGCGTGATAACGGTAATCTAGTTTGGCCACTCCTGTGTTTCTGTGTCCGAAAGATATCAGCGGGGAGGAAGCAACATGTGAATAAAACCTGTCACCATTTCTAGAGAAATCTTTTCGAATCTGATTATTTCTTAATTACCCTATCGTCACTAGTGTGCAAGTCTTTAACAGTGTTTTAGATGTTTTGTTTTTTTGTCTGCCTAATAATGTTTTAACATCTGTGACCGTTAAGGCTCCCAGCCAAGCAGTGAGACACCTCTGGGGATGGGAGCCACTCTGGACATTCAGAGGCAGCAGAGGATGGACCTGCTCGACCAGCAGCTGCTGCTGGCCCAGTACAACGAGGCGAGGAGGAACACCAGACAACAGCCACAGGTAGACAGACACAAGGCTGGTTACTGCACTGGTGCACAGGCTGACCCCCATCAAACACACATACGTAATTGCAATTAAGTCTGAACAGTGTTGAGATTTTTGTAGAAGGTGCTTGATTCCTCCTCTGTCTTTGTGTGCAGGCTGGATTGCTACAGTGGACCAGGCTGTTCCCCTCCCTGAGACACAGAGGACAGAACCGACCCCCGATGCAGCCCCGCCCTCAGGCTCAGACACACCAGTCCACTCAGCCGACTCTGGACAACTCTCCTGTCGCAGAGGAACAGGTGGGTTCGCTTGTGTGTTTCTCTGTGTGCCTTTATTCTGTGTTGTTTGTGGATATTTTTCTGGACGCATTAATCTGCTTTCTCATATCTGACTTGAATGACTCATCAAAACTTGACCTATCTCTGTCGTACTTTGTGCAGGACTCATTTATGACGTATTCCCATGCGATGATTTGTCTGCCGCCGCTGTCTTGAGACAAGAACTAATTTTTTTTTGTCTCACAGGTTGCGCGGTTAGTGGAAATGGGCTTTTCCAGGATCGACGCCCTCGAGGCCCTCAGAGCTTCAAATAACGACATTAACATGGCAACCAACTTCCTCTTGCAACACTGAGGGAAAGAGCTCAGTGAGAGGAAAGAAGAAAAACGAGAGGTGATTGAGGACAGAAAGACAAAGCAGAAAAAGAAGCAACCAAAGCAGGGAAGCAAAAAAAAAAAAAGCGAAACAGAGAGAAATGTTGCAGAGAATTGAAGATGGTGAATGATGGAGAATGGAAGAGAAGCCAAATGAAATTTGTACAGATAATCTGAAGGCAGCGCCACTGCTCCCCGAAGCAGCGTTAGGTTGACTCGAACTGAACTGAGCCCGATAGCAGGCTGATTAATAAAGACGTGTGAAGCACAACGTGGAAGACATTTGCGTCATAGCTTTCTGGTGGCCGTCTTAGTGTGAAACAGGCGTCATCGCTCAAGGCAGATGAGTTAGACCTCGAACTCCAAGGGGTGCCCGACAAAAATATACAGAAACCAAACAGGTACACAGTAGAAAAACAAGTCTTCAGTCCAGTGGTGGATGTGTAAAGTGGGCTATTTCTTCAAAACAGAATTAACAGATCCCACAGACCCTCATGGAGAACAACCTATAGCTACACAAACTACAGTTTAATATATCCCAATATAATATACTGCCACTTCAAAAATGGCTACCATTCTAGACCCTCATAACTGGCAGGAGATGACGACATAAAAGAAAAAAGTGCACAAAGTTTTAGAAATAGTGGATCAGAAAACATTGTCACTTGTCAGGTTTTATTCTCGTGCTCAATTAAGTCATATACCTTTCGTTAACTTTAGGCCATCCACTTTTGGGCAGTTTTTTTGCAGCATAAAATGTTAAATTCTCTATGATGAGGTGCAGCAGCCACAATCACAGCGTCATAATTTCTGATTAAAAGATCCATCAGCAACCTCCTTCATCATGGTTTTGCTACATGGTTCTGACTTCTTTGTATTGGCTGTGTTTCATGGAAGTAGCAGGGCTCAACCCTTTCCTGCTTGAGAAGTTTGAACAAAGCCTGACTGACAGATACTGAAGGAGCCAGCTTCTTTGGAGCTGACTGGTTTGGCCCAGACAGGGCTGTTTTGGCAGAATACTGGTTAAATGGACTATCTCAGGGTCTGTGAGGCGACTTCTTTGTTAATGACATAATCACATTTGCAGACATGAGTGCACACACACAGATGCACAGTAGCCCTTCAAAGAGGACATGTTTGTTACCCTCGAAAGTCTCTTCATTTCATGCACTCACATGCATACACTGCACACACTCCTCAAGGTTCATTTACTGTCTTAACCGAGTGTTTTCTCTGCCAGCACACTTGTCTGAATCATAGCAAGTCTTAAAAGTCTGTTGATATTTATTATGCAATATCATGACAGAAGAAGTTTATGGAGACTATGCACTGCATAGTAACTACCTTGTGTACATATACATACATGCAAGAGAAGTAATATTGCAGCCAATGTGTATTGATGTCAGAGACAGATGCTAGTTTTATATTTTGTGCATAATAATATTGATAATATATGACCACTGAAATGAGTCTGTTATTTGTGTGTATGTGTTTTTGAGAGTGTTATAATAGTATGTGGGCGTGATGAGGGAGTTGTTGCATGGACAACTTTCTGATGAACTGTAATGAGTCATATTTGATCTGTGGAATAAATCAACTTGCTGACTGAATTGTTTGCGTTGTTATGATGAGCGCGTGCTCAGGTGACAAAACAGTCTACGGTGTTTTCTGTATAACTAATCCTCAGTTTGAAATGAATCCTAACTTGACAAAACATTCGGCATTACGTTAAATTGAATTTTAATAAATTGTTTTTGCGCTGGCATGTTTTTCCTCAGTATAAACACTAATTTCTCATGCACCTGCTGTGTTGTGTTTAGCATACAAAGCAGGACTAACGGGAACCAAAAAGCTGTTGTATTTTTTATTTTTTTTAACCAAGTATAATTTAAGGAGTACCTTCTAATAATACAGACATCCTCTATAATTGAATCTCTGTCTTAACTGAGATTAATTCTGCGTTTTCTGCCACCATCCTCCAATTTCTATTTAAAAAATATCGACTCGAAAACAGATTCCCAACATTTTTCCTACACAACTTGTCAAATAAAATCGTTTTTTTGGTAATTCTACATTAAAACTCAAAAAGCAAGCATGTGTACAGTTTGATAGTTTTAATGCAATATATCATCATATATTATACATGTTATTGTTATGCCCTGCTGTGCTACTTTTCAACACATGATGGCACTCTTTTCCTACGATAAGACAGATTTTTTGTATGAAGAGAAAATAAAACAGTATTTATTTCCACTGTTGTGAGGATTTATGAGCGATCTGTTGCCGGTCTTTTCCTTCTCTCACTGTATTCCTTTTTTAGAAATTTAGAAGCTGAACCTTGAGTACAGAAGCACATTGAAAAAGTATTACTGTTACTGAACATGTTTTTCCTTTTGCACACATTTAAACCCCCAAATATCGTTCTCAAGAAGCTAGATGTTCTATTGGAAAGCCAAAAATGGAGCAATATTTGTGTTTTCAGCAACAATATTGAAAGCAAATTGGGTCAGTCCACATATGGTGGCCCAGTCTCTTAACATTTAGGTCTGCACTGTAATATGTTGCATAAAACTGAGTGTATTTCAGAGAAAAGTAGCACATATTCTAGAAAATATTAGCAACCAAAATTCAGTTGCATTTAGAGGCTGGCATAATTCAAGTGAGCCTCATTTCTCAGCCTACAAAACTGCCATTTGACAAAACACTTAAAAAAATGTGACCACAATCGCTCTGATGTTGTTGGATAAAATCCACCTGTTCATGTTAGGCCTCCTTTCCCCACTAGATGGAGACATTGAGTCAGGTCTGTTGTGTTGTTATTGCCAGTTAGTCCTCTGCCACACCCACCCGCTCCCATTATTCCACTGAGCAGACAGCTCCAGCAGACAGTCTCGCTCCAGGGTGGCTGAATATCAATGCAGAGAAATTATGCACATCTTCAAGCCAAAGAGTTTCAAAATCACAAGGTTCACCAGCTATTTCCTATAACACCAACGCCAAAGTACACTTGGAGCAGCCCAGAATCTACATCCTGCATAGGTTGCACTTCAGATCTCATCTGAACTCCCACAGACACATTTGTTTTTATTCCCCTTTAACCAAAAGGCCTCCTGAGTTCACAGTGACACAGATTCATCCAACCTCCGCTGACGTCGAAACCAGCCAAGCGGTGCAACTTTTAATGGCTGCCGAATTGAAAAAGCAGCTTAAACCGGAGTGATTGATATCTCCGCGTGTCACCGTGTTTCAGTGTTTAATTAAAGACAATGATTAAAGAAAAAAAACTTCCCTGACAACCAACCTCATTAGGGAGATTCTTTTGTGAACTGCCCACTTAATGTGCAGCATTAATCACGCCTCGTTTGGCCATAATGATTTTGATTTTTTCAGCTATTGGAGGGCGTTTTTTACTTAATTTCGCTTCCCAAATTTAGGTAAATTATGTACTGTGATGGGCGCCCATGGGTGGTGAAACTTGCTGCGATTTCACATTTAGCCAAACATGTCCAGATAATTTCAACTGCTGTGTGAAAATGCAGCTGCTTATGCTGGTGTTTTAGCATCAGCAACGGTAACAGAATGATGATGTATGGTCTGTTCGGGGGGTTTCTCCTTGTCTGGCAGGAAACCCATTATCGTTTACAGAACAGTCGACTGTGGCCTTGAAGCATCAGCAGTTGTGTGGGGCTATTTGTCATTTTAGCTAAGTCTACTGTGACTCTATTAACCATGGCCTACTGTACAGTATAGCATGACATAGTGCCACACTATAGGAACAGAGTTGTGTCTGTGTTTCTGCTCTTCTTACCTCCAGAGAAAAGCCTTTCTGTTTAGGGCCAGTGAGCTTCTGGGTTAAGGTTAAAAAGGAGCATTATGTTCTAATTTAGAGGAAGATTTAGATGAAGAAGATGTAGAGGCAATGCCCATTTTAGGTAATTCAGTAATTAGCATGCTTGCAGAGTGTCAGATGAGAAGATTGATTCTACTTGTATATCCATTAAGTGTGAAACTACACCAGCTGCCAATTAGTGTAGATTAAAAACACAACACATCAGGCTCTGGCAGAAGATAACGAACTTCACCAACTCTAATGTAATTAGTGATAAAGCGTGAACAGAGTGGGGGGGAAAACATTAACATGATACATGTGTTTCATGTTTAATATAAAAATATTGGATTAATGCATGTTTAGGTTTAAGGTCCACTATAAATTGGCATGTCTTAAAATATATACATCATACAAAAAGGCCAATATTTACTCACTCTGGTGGATAAGGGAAACACATTCCATCAATTTGCACTTCATTGATTTCTGAAGATTAAAAAAAATGGTAAGAAATAACTGCACAAACAGAGACTGAATGTATTTTACTGTTTGTTGTTTCTCTGATAACGGTTTGTCCTGTGAAAAGAAGCACAGTTCAGTTTGGCAAGAGGAAAGAAAATGTCATTTTTAATTGTGCAATCTCTACACGGTGATTAATTGGAAGACGTGTATTTAGTTGCAGGTTTATGTAGAGTCAAGTGAGTGATATATCTTGATGACTTTCTTACCTCTGCTGTTGTCTGCTTTCCAAGGTGCTCAGGCCAAAATGGTCCCCAGAGCCTCTGAGCACTATTTAAAGGTTCTGGGAGGCTCCAAGTGGTTGATTAAGGAGGGGTGAAGCATGGATTTGGATTTCAGCTTGAGATAACAGTTGTGTAGGTGATGTGTGAAACAGTTTTAAGTGAAGCTACCAACTTGTAATGAAATCTGTTTGGGTAAATTGTTGAGTGTAAGTGAGCTGTTTATTGGTATTTGTTTGGTTTTGTTGATCAGATTACCCCGCTGAAGGTAGGGCTTGAGGGCTTATCATTGGCAGTCTATGGAGGCCTGTCAGGAAGCATTTGCTGCTGTTCAGACCTCAGGGCGCCTGTGTGTGGTCAATAGGTCACGCTTTTTTCTTCTATATCTCTGTTGTTTGCGATTAACACCTCTGCATCACGACTCCTGCTTTAATTCAGCCGCTGCTGTCCGTCATAACACTCACAAATGTCATTTGCAAATGTAATTTGTGAGTGTTTATGTTTCAGTGTGGCTGAATCACTTGCTGATGCTGTGCCGCTGACATGCATGTATCACTTCAAACACCCAGAGGCCATCACCAGCTCCAGCGCCGTCTCCGCTATATTCCCTCACCAGCTCTGTTGCCATGGTGAGTGCATGCCGTTTTGTATGGTTGCCATGGGGACCCCGTATTACAGCCTGCCGCCTGCTCTCTTCATGTTTCTGCATGATCATTTGTATGCCTCCTGTACGCTAATGCTTTAAAAAACATTAGCGGCGCAGGGAAGTGCCCTCAGGGATTACCTTCTGTAGAAACACGCCCAGGTATTCCTGATGCCGTTTCAGAGGATGGGGGAAATACCAAAACAGCTGAATTATTTTCTCAGCTGTGACTTTGCATGTTTGACAAGGGAAAAAAAAAAAAGTCAGATGTATGAGTGTAATTTCGAACAATGCCGTCTTTTTTTTCTTTCTCACTAGTCAGTCCATAGCTATGAAAGCCGAGAATGCCAAATGCCTCCCACCGTTATGGTAATAATATTCAAGCTAATGCACTTTGAGATAATGACATCATTTGTTTGCTTGTTTCCTTCGAACAATTACACACTGTCCCTGTCTTTAACACTCACTGGGCATCTTGTCTGTTTAATGTCCTGCATGTGTGTGTGTGTGTGTGCATGTATATCTGCTGGCACGAGTCCATTTGTATGGAGTCTTGAGTGCGCTGTTCACCGCATGTGGGAATGTTTGCATCCAATTCTTAGGGCGGAGAGCGAGCGGCAAAGGCCACTGATGTTTTCCTCTAGTCATTTTTACACAAACTTCATAGTTAATGGGCCACAACGGTGCACCTGCCTTCGGGCCATTCAGAGGTTTGGCATTTCACTTCCATTGTGTGTCGGCTCCTGAATGCCTCTCGCGGTCTGTTTAGTCTGTGCTTGCTTCAGTTACATCAAAAGCAGAGCAATCTTCTTTAATCATTTGGGCTTGGCTAGGTTCACTCTAGGATCAGTGGGTTTGTTCAACCTGTTTTTGTTTTTTTTAAATCTACCAGCCTCGATGACAGCTTGTGGATGTGCAACGTTTTTTTCTTTGGTCTTTTTTCTTCTTCTTTCTTTTCATTTTGTTTGTTGACATCTCTTGCTAGATTTGCGTCTGGACCCACCAATTATAAGAAACCCGCAATCCCACAAGAGGCCTCTCTGGAAAACAGTCATTTGGAACGACTGCACCTTCAAAAAAAATCTACTCCAGCACTGTAATCTGTGTCCAGCAGTACTGTGAGGTAATCACACGTGACCATCAGCTGGTACTGAAGCGCGCTCATGCCCGTCCTTGTGTCTACAAATTATGAGCGCTTTGGGAATTATTGTCCTTCCAGCAGTTGGATGTTATGACAAAGACTTCTGGTTATGCTGTTTATGTGATAAAGAGGAGTTTCAATTGATGTGAATCCTCTGTAACTCCCAATGAAAGTATTTGGGAAAACTCTCATTAGGAGTTTTTTGTCATCATTATAAGAGATTTAAAGGCCACTTCAAAACCCAAATTATTGGCTTTGGT